TCTTCATGATCTTTTCAAGCTCATGTTTGATTGATCCGCGCCTGTGGGAATCCTCAGTGTCCTATGTTGGGAATGCAGTCTTCCAGAGTCGGAGAGGACTGCTTCTTCAGGTCCTGCTTTAAGCAGGACTCTCAGGGGCTCAGGTCCTGGGCCCACCTGCTGGCCCAGGATGCTGCCCCATCCACTGCAGCACTGATACTGGTGTTTGCCCTTAGACCAAACTCACATTTTTGTTGTTGTTGTTCTTATTTAATACCACTTACTTTCCCCTGCTCAACTTTCAAGTCCCTTTTTGTTATAGACTTAAATTCCAAAAGCAAAGTGTAGTTTTTGAGAAAAGCCCTTACTCTTGTTCACTGATGTGTGAGATTGCTTGTGGCTGGCCTGAGCCCCACGTGCCACGATGAGCGCCCAGGGCCGCTGCGCCGTCACTGGTCAGAGGACGGCATGTTATCTGATGTGTGTGGTTCCGTGGGTCCAGGTCAGCGTCGAGGCACGGCCTGTCTGAAGGAAGAGCTCCAGGGGGCTGTGGACTGGTGTCAGTATCAGCTCATCGATCTGACCCAGGCCTCTGTGAAGCTGGACGAGGGGGAGTGTGACCGAGTTCCGCCTCACGGACTAGAGCAGAGGGAGAGACAAAGGGCTCAGGTGGGGACCCGTGTTCTGTGCTGATCCCACTTTGCATGGAATGTGCACCTGCCTCCTTTTGCTATGGAGCAAGGCAGCGGTGCCCAGAGGGTGCGTTTTCTTGTGTCTTTCGTGGATCAGTAGGGTTCCTGCTTCGGGCTCAGAAGGCCCTCACGGAACTCCCTCCCTGCCCTCCCGCTGTGCTCTCCGGAAGCCACTGTTCTGCAGACGACTGGCCGAGGACTGGCCCGAGGCCCCACACAGGATGGCATCCATGCTGGACAGGAGGGGCAGGCCCCAGGGGAGCCCTCCCAGTGTATCCGCACAGCCCACCCCGGCCACAGTGACTGCCCCGTGCCCTCCCAGCTCTCCTTCCCTTCTGGCCAGCCACGCTCCGTGCCACTGTGGAAAGAGTGCACAGTGACAATGGCGGGGTGGCAGGGCTGTGCCCTGCTCTTGTGCTCTGTCTGCAGCAGACACAGGACCTGGGGGGTGGGTGTGGGGGGCTTGAGAGTCCCTCCACCACCCGGGTCCTCCCTTCCCCGCCAGGGCCTGGGCCTCCCCAGCACACAAGTGCCTCTGACCTAGGAGGCCAGGGGAGGGTGGACAAGGGGCTCAGTGCCTCTAGGCTGGGGCTGCAGGACGGACACTCCCCCCACCTCGCTGGGCCAAGTGCTTTGGCATCTGTGAGGCACAAGGCCATGAGCCCGAGGCCTCCACCCGCAGCGGCTGGGTGGCTCCCCTGCCCTCTGACCCAGGACAGTGGCTGTGCCTCGTGACATCAAGAGGGCCTTAAGGCCAGTTAGGATGCCTTCGCAGCCTCGCCACCATCCAAAGCTCGGAAATCCCACACTCCGTGATAGCAAAACGCAAATGCGTTGTGAGCCCACTCCTTCCAAGAGCCTCACTGGGAAGAAGTACCCGGGGCCTTCAGTGAACATTCCTGAGGCTAGCTGAGCCTGGGGCCGGGAGGGAGGGGAGAGGGGCTATCTTCCCCTCGTCGGGGGTCTGTGTGGTGGCTGTGCGGGGGCACAGGGAGCACTCGGAGGAGCGGGGGTGGGGGCAGGAGGAGGGGCTACCTCAGTTTCCCCAGCTGCAGCCTTCCAAGTGTGCTGGATTAAAAAGAGCCCCGCCCAGGCGCCGCCTGAAGCCTGCAGACACTTCATAGCGGCCTGCCCTGAATGTCGCCTGGACTCTGGTCTTTGCCACCTAGAGCCTGGGCCTGTCGGTTTCCCTTGTCTGCGCTCGCTTCCTGCTCGCTGCTGGGGGGACTGCTGCGAGGCGGCGGGACTGCCGTCCAGGGAGCACGCTCCCCGGGGTAGCCCCATCCCAGGCGCTGGCGCAAGCTGCCCGGCCAGAGCTCCCAGACAGAGGGACTCCCCTCCAGGACCCGTGCCCCAGGCAGTGGGGGGGGGCCCGAAGGAGGGGTGCGCCTTCACAGACATCACTTGTCCAGAAGCAAGACACGCTGTCTTTCCGACGTGCACCAGATCTCTTTTCATCTTGTCTTTGCTGCGAAATCGAACACGCGCGAAGCCGTGCATCACTCTGTAGGTGCACATTCACCACTGCTCACAAGGCAAACAGCCGCAACGTGGAGATGGCAGGTGTCCTCCTCACAGGACGCGCGCCCCACTCACACCTCCAGGACACCACTTCCTGGATGCTCATGTCCAACGGACCCTCTGGGTTTTTTTTCTTCTTCTTCTTCTTTTTTGGTTTTATCACCTAGGACCTAGGTGTACATCTCTAAACAAACCATTTGCTTTCGCCTGCTTGGGACCGTGTGCATACAGAATTGTGGCCTGTGTCTTAAGCCCATGACAGGGGTCTGTGTTTGCTGTTTGTCCTCCTTAGTGTCCTGTGACATTCTGTCACATGAATGCTCCAGCATTTGTGTACTCGTTCTGCACGTGGTGAGCATGGTAGGTTGTGTACAGGTTTTTGGCTATCACAGATAAGGCTGCTGGTGAACACACCAGCATGCTTTCTGGGTGTGGAGGGCATAAATGTTGTGGATCTTACAAAAGATACAGAGAAAGATGTAGCTATAGAGTGGATTTCCGAGGATTGAACAGGTGTGGTCTCCGTAGAGAATTCCAGCCTGTCTCCCGAAATGGTCAGACTCACATTCCCAGCCGCAGGACAGAGGGACCCGTTGCCCCGCTCTCCGGCAGCACTTAGGATCAGCAACCTTTTTAATTTTTGCCGATGTGAAGGGTGCAGGAGGGTTTTTCCACTGTGGTCTTACTTGGCCTTTTTTCAGATTTCTGAGGAGGGGGTTGCACGAGCTCGCTGGGCAATCTGCAATCCTCAGTCTCGGTTTTAGCAAGAAAAGGCCAATGAAGGCTACGGCGAGGTGGAGTGGTGGGATTTGGGCATGAATTCAGAAAGCCAGAGTTTGGATCCCTTTTCTTATTTCCAGGACCCTGAAGTCAAAGAGGGGAAACACTGTAAATCAAGGAGAATGATATTTTGGAACGGCCCATGGATATTCTCCTGAGGTCACCTGTTGTAAGCATAGGCGTAAATTCTTAATGCTCTGTATTCGTTTTAGGCAGTTCTCTGTACCTCCAAACTATCCTTTGTGGGGGGCACTAATGCTTATGAAATACATAAAATATGAATAGTCCCACATTCCACATTATAAGATAACTTCGTATCAAATAGACTGAGCTCCCCTCCCCTATGAAAATAGGTTTTACTTTTTCTGCGTGGCTGTTTTTTGTTTTGACAGCAAGCAGCAGGTCTTAACGGGCTGTGGGACTGTGAAGACGCAGGTTCACACCTGGGGAGCTGGCGGCTCGGTCGGGTTGGGAGGAAGGAGCTGTTTTCAAGGTGCAGAAGGTTTCAGAAGCGGCCGTGCCAAGGACATGGGGGGTCTGGGTGTGTCTGGAGCAGTGGGCTGTGGAGGGAACCTGTCCATAGTGCATGGCCAAACACAACCGCACAATTTTATTCTTATTATTTTTTAAGATTTTACTTATTTATTTGTCAGAGAGAGAATGAGAAAGATCACAAATGGGGAGCGGCAGGCAGAGGGAGAAGCAGGCTTCCCGCAGAGCAGGGAGCCCAATGCAGGGCTCGATCCCAGGACCCTGGGACCATGACCCGAGCCGAAGGCAGACACTTAACAACTGAACCACCCAGGCATCCTGGGGAATTTATTCTTAAAACAGAGTTCCAGCTACACAACCCAGCTTGGCCCTCAGTCTCCGGCGGCCTCTGGAGATGAATCCACAGGTGAGGACAGTGCCAACACAGTTGTTTCCAGAGCCCATCTTGGGGGTGAGACCTCTTGCCACCCAGAGGCAGCTTCAGAAATCTTCCCAAAACATGGAAAGTCCATGCAGCTTGGCATTTTTGAACCCTTCCCAAAATGCAGTGCATTGGGGCACAGGCTAAACATTTTGGACTCTCAGTTTCTTTGGGGCCAGAAAGGCTTTCTAGAAGCGTCCTGACTCACCCTCTCCCAGAGCCCCTGATTCCCAGGGCTTGAGTTGCTGCAGGGCTGAGGTCGGGGGGCGGGGAGACTAAGAAGCTGCACTGGGAGAGGGACTTATGGCCAAGTCTTGCTTTGCAGTCCCCGCCGCCACCTGGATCTGCCCTCCCAAACCCCACGGGCCTTCTCCTGGGCCCTCTCCTCCCCTTGGGGCAGCGGGTGAGTGCTCGGCTCCCTGTTGGACTCACAAGTCTTATTCACAGGGAAGGGGGTGGCACCAAGGAGAGCCCGCCAGGGCATGGAAGCAGAGCCTGGGGGTCAGCACAGCCCAGCGCCGCCCTGACCTTGCTTGCTGGTCCCTGCAGTGCACGACACGTTCCTGTCCCTGTGATGCCATGTGACACTATCCTATGGGACAGCATTCTAAATCCCAGCCCCGTCCTGCCTTCCTGCACCGGGAGATGTGAGGGGAGGCAGAAGGGCCCTGGGGAGTCGGGGCCCACACCCCCTCCATCCGTGGTCTGGAATTTCCTCAGTAAAATGCTTACCAAACACCCCCACACCGCACCCCGGCAGCCGGTGGAGCGGCAGGTCTGGGACTGTGACCTCGGGGAAGAGAGGTGACTGCAGAGACTCTCCGTGTTCCGTGGGTCCCCTGTGCTGGTGGCCTGACCGTGCCGCCGCTCCAGGTGAACTGAGACTCACCCGCAGGGCCCAGGCTCCCCTGCCGTCCACCCAGGGGTGGACAGCTGGGCCGTGGCCGTGACCCACCCGCCACCACGACATTTCCTCGTCACGAGCTGCCGGGGCCACCGACCTGCCGGCCGGGCCTGTCTGGACACGGGGCCAAAGCCCTTGACCCCAGGCCGGGAAGGGCCGCTGCTGCTGGCGGGGCTGGTGTGGCTGTGACGCACGGTCTCCTGTCTTGTAGGATCAGGGACAGGAACGACAACGGGTCTTACGCCCTGTGCTTGCTGCATGAGGGGAAGGTGCTGCACTACCGCATCGATAAGGACAAAACCGGGAAGCTCTCCATCCCCGACGGGAAGAAGTTCGACACGCTCTGGCAGGTAGGGGCCGTCCTCATGAAGGAGAAAGCCACCTGGGTCCCTGCCCGATACCCACCAAGGCAGGGCTCCTTTCAACCCGCAGGTGCCTTGAAGCCCCGGGCGGGGGTTGGGAGGGGGGGCGGCAGGTGGACGAGGCTCCAGAAGGCCCAGGACCGCTCAGCTCTCCGCACCACGGAGGTGCCCACGGAGAACTGTGCGCGCAGATGCCCAGGAGGCCCTGCTGTTTCTCTCTGTGTTCCAGACTGGGAATATCAAGGGTCAGGTGCCTTGCTTGCTGCAGAAGGAATCTCTGTGAAATCAAGGCAACTTAGAAAGTAGGTCAGCACCGCCTGCGCATGCTCAGGACGTTTTCAGCTCTGCTCTGAAAAGGGTTTATTCTTGACCCCACTGTTAGGAAACCCCCAAATAGCTCCTAATTTGGGAGGCACGTAGGGAGTGAGGAGCAGGGAACGGACGCCATCACGCCCTCCTGAGGGCCGAGGTGGGCACACGCTGCTCATCTGCGCTTGCGTCATGGCTACGTGTGACCGTGCTGTGCTGTGCGCGCCATCCCAGCCAAGCACCCTATAAACTGCCGGGCCCAGCAGCGCAGTTTCCCTGTTTCCCTGAGAGTCGGGCATTGCTGCCCTTGGTGGAATTCCTGACTTTGGAGAAGGAGCCAGCAAACCCCGAACCGAGCCTGGCCCCCAGCCTTTTTTTGTGTAGTTCTTGGAGAAGTGTTTTTTTCACTTCGAAGGATTCTTTAAAAAAAAAAATAAATAAGTAAAAGGTTGTGCAACAGGGTACGCAAGCCTAAAATATCACTGTCTGGCCCCTTCCAGAAAAAGTTTGCTGACCCCTGCCCAAGAGGGGTAGCCTCACAGATTTGCCCACCTGCAGGCACCCTCGTCCAGCACGTTGTTGGAAACCACAAGATATTTGAGTGACACTGGAGCGCTGGACGGGAAGCCTTGCTGCCTTAGGGACCCCGAGACCGGCAGCCCGAGACCACGTGGTTGCATTTATCAGAGCAAGCTGAGCCCCCGTGTCAAGCATCTTAGGGCCGGTCACACTGCAACGTCTGCTTAGAGGGTAGATCTCACCACAATAAAAGACAATGCTTCCTGGAAGGATAAAATATATTCATTCAGGGGCACCTGGCTGGCTCAGTAGGTAGAGCAGGCAACTCTTGATCTCAGCGTCGTGAGTTCAAGCCCACCTTGGAGTCTATCTTTTTTCATTCAACAAAGATTCACCCAAGCAGGGAAGTTTTGAGAGGAGAGAAGATTCAGAAGCAGGGTCCTTAAATGGAAAAGTTACCAATAAACAATAAGGAAGAGATACCAGATGTGAACATTATGAAGATTCTAAGTTGTCCGAAGAGGAAATGTCTGTAAGAAAATGTGAAATACCAAGACTTTTTTCTTATTGTGTAATTTGGATGAGCTATAAATAAATCTACGTGCCATCACTTAAGTTTTGATGGGCCAGTTGGACATCATGAGTCACAACTTCCTGGGGGCCATTAGCCAAGGATGACCACATTCTCTCAACAGAAGGCCCCCTTTCCCCATGTCCCAGCTCTGCTGTCTTCTCCCTGGAAGTCTTGGGCTGAATGACTTGGTCCCTCCGAGAAGCCGTTGCCAACAACCCCGTACAGCAGTAATTAACAATTAACAGTATATTGCGATTCCTTTACCTGCCTCTCCATCAAGAAAGGAAGCACCTCAGGGGTAGGAAATGTGTCTCATTCACCTTTGTTTGCCTTTGGTCCTGCCTTGGGGCCCAGAGGGTTTGTTGAATGAGTCTATGAAGGAATAAGTGTTGACATGCTGAATTTGTTTTTATAACATTACATAGATGGAGGAGAAATAAATAAGTGGAACTTGCTACCAAAAAAGGAAGGGAGGGAGGGACAGAGGGAAGGATGGAGGGGTGTAGGGAGGGTGGGGCAAAGTCCAGAGGGGGCTGGTGAGTGGACTCCTGTCCAGGATGTGAGTGTGGGGTGGGAGAGGCATGAGGAGGGACCAGGACCACCTCCCGAGGAACCATGTTTTGTTGTGCAGGGGTGTCCTCGAGTCACTTTTAAGGTATGCAGGGGGAGTGGGCTGCTCCAGGATTTCCCTCTTTCCTGCCTCTGATGTTTATGGCTCTTTCCTTCTTCCCTTTCAGCTAGTGGAGCATTACTCTTACAAACCAGATGGGCTGTTAAGAGTTCTTACAGTTCCATGCCAGAAAATTGGCGGGCAGACAGGTGAGTTCCTGACCTTGGAGCCTCTGTCTCTGGGATCTTGACAATAATCGGCCTGGCTTTACAGTCGGCCTGTCCCAGATCCGGGTGGGATGAGGGCTTGTTTTTACTGGTTGATGAAAGATGATGTCGGGTCATTCCAGTTAATCACACTGTAGCTGATAGCTTTAACTGGAGAAAGTGGGTTAGTTCTAATTGCCCGGGTGAGGACGCTGAGTGGAGGAGAAGGAGAAACTGCTTCTCTGGCAGGCTAACGGTCCAGCTGAGTGATCTGCACCCGGGGAGGTAGCTGCTGGGTGTCGGGGATTTAGCCATGACTGTCCATGCTCTTTCCACCCAGGAAACATCAACTTTGGAGACCGCACGCCCCTCCCAGGGGGCCATCCTGCGGTAAGTTACAAGAGCTGGGCCCGCGGTGGAGCAGCTGCATGCTAGAGCCAGGAAACCGTGGGTTAGCGCACAGGATAGCCATGATTGTTGTTCCTGCCGCCCTTGATAACCTGGGGCCGGGGAGCGTCAGCTAGAATCAGCCTACTTTCAGTTCCAGGCCAGCTGAGTTCATTTCTTCATAGGTTAGACAGGGACACCCAATGTTAAATCAGAAATACGCCTCCTGGTGGCTCTGGGAAATGATGTGCAGGATCCAGGAGACCGTGCACATGGTCCCTGGAGTGAGTCTGCTGTGCGTGATGTCTCACTGAGCTTGTCCGCCTGGCTCTTTTGGTTAGATCATCATTCACAGAAGCATTGACCTTTCTGGAGGGTGGGTTTGATGGTAGCTTAGCGGAGGAGGCTTGGTTGGGGGTGGGATGCTCAGCAGCATCAGATGAGAGAAGCCCCTAGAGAAGGCCAGAATGCACCTCTCCCTCCGCATCAATGGGAGGTGAGAATGTGACCTGTCCCCATGTCTCCATGTGGGTTTGCCCAACACACGCCCCCCTCCCTCCCCCCCACCCCAAGCCGACACACAGATTTATACTCAGAGGAGGAGTTGGGTCCTGCTCCTTTTTGCGGACCTCGATGTGGACCTTTGGTGTCTTTTAATGCCATCTGTAAAGTATAAAAATCCCCCTATCATGAGCTGTGTGCTCCACGTCTCCCTATTTGCCTATTAACCCTTAAAAAACAGAATCAGCAGAAATCAGAATGTCCATTCTGCCCACAATAAGGATGGTTGACCGCTCACAAGCCGCACCCACATTGAAGCAGGGAACCTCTCCGGGGGCAGCACCCGTCACCAGATGGGGGGGCGGGGGATCGAAATTTGCTAAAATACCAGTGAACTTCTGCATCAACATCTAAAATAGAGCCCCTGTATGGAATCATCATTTTATTTTACCCTTCATGTGGCTCCTGGGCCTGGCACGTCTAGATGCTCCATGCTCCATCTACCATACGTCACAGTAGATGCTCCATGAGACAGATTGATCTTCCTCCCGGATGGGTGAGGGCTGAGGGCTAAGAACTCTTACGAGAATATGAAGCCCTAGATGCAGCCGTGTATCACCCAGTAGCTTCAAGAAGTTAGATATTTTGGAAAATCTTTTTATTGACTATCTCAATGCATACAGAAAAAAACACACATGCCCTATGTGTCCAAATCAGTGAATTTCCACAAACCATGGAACCAGCCCCCCAGAGAAGTAACAAAATTGGGCACAGTCAGACTTACTTCTAGTTTCTTTAGAATGATTTGTCATGTTTGTGATTTAGTAACCTATATGAGACGGGGGCTACTTAATGTGACAGCCCTAATTCTATAGCTTTCCATGGAAAATATTAACCAAAGTATTTTTCCAGATCCTTCTGCTCAGGCGGCAGGCTTATCCTGAAGCATCCCTAGTGACCAAGTGTGGTCGGCAGCAAATCTCTGCAGCAGAGTGTGGAGGGGGTTGGCAGTTAATCACAAAGTGATATCACAAAATGAAATAGCATGTCATGTGTTTGCTTTCTGAGATACTGACTCTTCCCTCTTTGCCGTTATGGTTTCTAGATGTGGTCAGCGGGTGGAATAATCTCCAGAATCAAATCATACTCCTTTCCAAAGCCCGGCCACAGAAAGGTGCTAATGCATCCCCCCGCTTGCTGTCCCCCTGCCTACGTGGTAGGACTGACCCTCACGCAGTGCCCGTGCTTTGGCCCCGGCTGCCCTCCGTGCACGCTCCCCGCCCCGTCCAGCCGCTGTGCTCTCGCGCCTGCCGTGTGTGGCCCCAGGTGGGCAGCCTGTGCCCGGTGCTCGCCGTGCTTTCCGTGTGGGTCCTGGTCCCTGCCACCTGGTCCGCCCTCGCCAGCATACTCTCCCTGCTTAGTGTGCACTTGAACGTCCCAGGGTCGGCGTGGGAGGTGGGAGCCTCGTGTCAGAGAACCTTCTCCGAGCAAGCCAAGTGATCTGTTGTCAAAATCACAAGTTGCAGAGCCAGGGGGTCGATTATATAAAGTACGTGCTGTTGGAAAGGGTGCCAGGGTTTTGTGGGGGCTGCACAGGGAGCGTCTCAGGCTGTTTATTGCGTGGATGCCAAGGGCCATGACACCTGCATCGAGGCTGTAGATTTCCAACACGGAACTTGACTATAACAAGTAAAAAGACAAGCATGGAATTGGAGGATTAGAAGCGCCCTGTTTCTTTACGAGGCAGTTAAGGTTGACCTGGGATTCGTTTCTGTATTTGGCTGTGTGATTGAATTGTGAGGGAAAGAGCGAAGTTTTTTTTAATGATTTATAATGAATCATCTCCATATATATATACATATATATATATATGTATATATATATGTATGGGTTACTATTTTTTCCTTTGTACTTTTTCCATTGGTGGTAGAAAGTGGATTCTTTTGTTAATAATTCTTTCCGTTTTCATACCAATTAGTATTTTTTTCCAACATTTCAATCATACAGTTGGGCATCAACTGATGAAGCAAGTTGCCAAAAGTACTTGCTAGGAACAACAGAAAGAAAAAGCATAAGATCCCCAAGATTTTATTTAGGAAGAATTTTCCAAGTGGGCAGTCATACTCTGGGTGCTCCCAGTCTTGTTGTTGATAGATCAGAGAAGAGAGTTGAATGTGATGGTCGAGGGGCAAGTTGTCTGACAAACGGAGCGGCTGTCTGTCTGAATGTCACATGGCCAGGCAGTGTGGACCAGCTCGTGGAACCTCAGCTAGAATGTGGCAGTGCTTTGGGGGAACTGCAGTCAGGGCCGCCTGCGCCATGGTGGGCGTGTTAGGAGTTGGGGACCAGGTTGTCAAGGTGACACATTCTCTGTGTCCGGTGCCCCTTTGTCCCACCGTTGGTGTTTGCTTGAAGCCACCAGGCCCAGTAGGTGATTGAGGCTGTAGACCAGAAGAGGTAAATATCTGCCATGCTCCAAGGTAAAACCCTCCGGCTGCCCCCTTCCAGCCCATGTGGCCCAGGACCCCTGTCGGCTTGCGCCCCTTCTCTTGGGAGAGGGCTCCGCGTGGCCGCCCGGATGGCATCTAACAGGCAGGAAGTAGCCTTCTGATTCAGGGTGCATTTTAATCAAGAATCATCTTTTCGAGGCTGTAATTATAAATTTAGTTCAAATTAGTGACTTCGGTACCATGGTTTGGCGGTCAAACACAAGATGTAAGGGTGTTTAATCGAATGTTGCATCGACAGTGCTTCGTAGAACAGCTCAGGGCAGGACACGTGGCCTCCACAGTGCCTGGAACCGCTTACTTCACCGGCTTCCGTGGCCCCTCCATGTTCAGGGCCTGCGTGGCAGCTGTGGAACAAGCCCTGTGGACGTGGGTCACACCACCGGTTGCCACCACTTGTCTATTCATTATTCCCTTTATGGGAATAATAGTAATAGTAGTAAAACTACCTAAAATATCAGTAAGACTACCTAAAAATAAAGAACTATCATCAAAGGAAATAACAAACTCAGAGTAAGTATTGGTCCTGATGATACATATGCAAGGTTAAGATCTTTAATATATAAAGAAATTCTATAAGTCTGTAAAAGTTTTAACTAACAGGCAAATGGCAGAGGATGTCGTTAGGTAATTTGTAGTAAAGCAGATACAAATAGGAAAAACGTAGGAAAACATAAAAATAGGAAGAGCTGCTCCATTTCATAATAAGAGAGATGCAAGTGAAAACTAGGTGCCCTGTTATGTCCACCTGTGAAGTGGACCCAAGTAAAAAGCAACAGGATGTGCAGCAAGGGTGTGGTGAGTAAGTCCTCCCACGCTTTGCTGGAGAAGTGTGAGATGATGCAGCCTCCGAAGAAGGCAAGTTCACAACATCCATCCAAAGTAAAACCACATATGGCTTCTCAACTGCAATTTCATTTCTAGGTATGTATTATTCTTGCATTTGTGTGTAACCATGTGTCCATGAAAAGTGTTTATTCCAGCATTGTGTAACTGACAAGGTCTGGAAACAAATTAAAAGTCTGTCATTGGGAAATAAACCAGTTACAATTAAAATTCATACCGTGAGAGGCAGCTGAGATCTAGAATTATTTCCAAATTCCAGTGTTAATTACAAACAACTGATATGTGCTGATAGAATGTCAAATATTCTGGAAGAAATACTGAAACACAGTGGTAATGGTAGTGACTGCGAGAGCACGAAATAGGGGTGTCAAGGAGACTTACGCTCTACCGTAAACCCCGTTGTGCCTTTGTAAATTCTTACCTCTCGAATTTAATCAATTTTTAAAAAGAGAATTAAATATTAGAAAGTAATGAATCTGATTGATACTGTGAAAATACTTTTCTGGAAAAAAAAGGCTGTTGCCTATTTAAATTTATAACAACTTTGAAATATGCATTGAATTTTCCTAGATGCCAAAAAAATTAATAAAGAAGGATTGTGTGATTTAAGTTATGGATTAAATGTATTTTAATTGCTCATCAGAAATATTTTAGGAGAACTGGTGTTTATGTCTTCGCAAATAGAGGAGGAATTTTCTATTAATTAAACAGTCATGAGAAAGCACTTACAGGGATTATGTCAGATATCCCCTCTGTTTAGATAAGGTGCAAATGACTTTCTTGAGTTTGTTAATTTGATCAGTATACATAGTTGTTTTTAATAATTCAGGCCCAAAAAGGACATGTCAGAACTTGAATTAATTCTAGTGTGTGGGTAGTTACCGAAACTATGTTTTGACTTGAAGAGGGCTGTTAATTAGATATTAGAGATTTCCTAATAAAAACTTAAGGACAGGTCTATTTTAAATTTTTTCCTTAGAAACTGGGAATACTTTCGTCCTTAAAAATAAAGTGAAGTCAAGTAACCAATGTAAATAATGATCCACCCTCTTCCCTGCCCTTCATAATAAAAACTTAAGGAGCGGGTCTATTTTAAAGTTTTCCTTCGATGTTAGTCCTTAAAAATAAAAAATGAAATTAACAAGTGTCTGTGGGATTCACCCTCTCCCCTCCCCACATCCTTAAATGAAGTCCCTCCCACTCCTAGAACGGGAGCATCTGTCTTGCTCCTTTAAGTACAGAAACCTTTGCTTCATGTGAATAAGAGTGTCCTTATAGGAGCGTCCACCTCCTGTTTCAGAGGCATGCTCCCTAAAACGCGACACAGCATTCACCTGTAGCTCCGTGGTGGAAATGTGTTCCAGAATTTCAAATTCAGACCCATTTCTCATGCTGTATTCCAACACCTGCACTGATGTTTGGATTATTTGAAGGCTTGTATGTAAATACACAGTTGGCTAGAGTTGAGCTGGAAGAGCAAAAGAAGGAGAACAGTTGTGAAGTGACACCGTCAGGCAGTAACGGCGAGGCACTGGGACAGACCCTGGAGAAAACGTGTTGCCGTGTCATTGTCAGGGGCCACGCTGCAGCCCTCCGCTCCTTAGGTCAGGACGATTGATGGTGGATGTCAGCTGTTGGTTTGCATGGACCGGAAGCAGACGTGGTCTCATTCCGTGCCCTGGCCGGGGAGGGTCTGCCCTGGGCTGTGGGGTCTTGTTCCCCCTTGGGACCACAGCCACTCTTGCAGACCAGAGCCGTGCCCGAAATGGCAGCCCGCGTTCTGAAGCCTGCAGGCTCTCTTTGTCACTGCGGCTGTGACACGTATGTGGTCCTCTTTACTGCTGCTCTGCCTGATTGGGAAAGGTCTGTCCAAAAGCCTAAAAGCAAAGGTCTAGAAATGGATGTTAGGACACAGCACGATGCTCCCAGATCACCAGGAGGACAGTACATGTGCACCTTGTTCACTTCTGCATCCCCACTTAATAAGCACCCAACGGATAGCTGTCGAACACATTTCAGTTTGCAGTTAAGGCTGGCCAGTAAGAGATCAGGGATCATAATTTAAGACCTAATTTGGTCTTATCTTTAATTACTGTGGAGTGACCTGTTTTTACCTCAATTTACAAAACTTAACGATCACCTCTTGTTCTTTGGGAGGGAGAACGCGAAGGTCGCTAGTGCCATCTAGTGGTGGCCCACAGGTTTGAAAAGCCGCAAAAATGGGAGGAAAAAATGCACCTGCTCACATTCCATTGACACCTTATGCTCTATGCGGAAAAGGTGATGGTATTGATTGGGGTAGAATAAATCATCAAATATAAAGCAGAAAGAATAATGACAGATGACAGAATAGGCCAGCGATGTGTTTTTCATTAAATTTTAACGCTAATCAGTACATTTATAATTCAGCACCATTCTTTACAAAGTCTTCGAATTCTTTTCAGCTGAGCATTCGATCCCAGAGGGTGTTTGGTGTCATTCTACTCAGCGGCACATCCATCAAACACTTTAGGAAAGATGGAATTGTGTTTTGTACCTTTACCTTCATCACAACATCACCACCACCCTGTTAACTGACGCACCAGAAAATCTCCCATTTCTCCCGAAGAACATTCTCCCGAGTGTTGTGCCAGCTTCTATCCCAGTGGGGTGACCCAGGGGCCTGGGTAGGGAATGGATGTGGTTACTGAGGGACTCGCGGGGCCCTGGCCAGGCTGGGAAGGCTCTTAAGGGCGTGGGGTCTGTGTGACCTTCAGAGGGAGATCCCAGCCCATTTCCTAATGCGTAGCCAAGGCCGACGAGGGGTGAGCACCACACTGCCCATCAGAGTCTGCTCTGCTCTTTCCAGGGCTTTAGGCTCAGTGTGTCCCACACCACCAGCTCTCACTCACCCTTGTCACTCATTTGTACACTCCCACTTCTGCTTTAGAAGTCTTCCCCACAGGCTTCCGATGGCAGGTCATTGCATTCTGGCTTAATCTGTGAAGTCCTGGGGCTCGGGAGAGCATTCGCTCGGGGAGGAGCAGTAGTGGCCCCAGGATAGCCTGTCCTCGGTGGGCAGAGGGCAGGTTTCAGGGCCAGGAGCAGGGGCCCTGGTGTCTCTCCTTGTCTGACAGGCGGTCCTGGCGTCTTGAAGTCGTGTCTTTGGATCTCAGAGTTTCCTGCCTCCAGGGAAGATCAGAGATGTTGAAATGATTGTATATATGAACCTGAAAGAGGCTTTTTTAAAAAATTGAATACTATTTCCACCTTGGAGTTTGATTGCAGCTGAGCAGAGGGTTGATGGGAGGCCTTGGGGATTCCCAGTCTCTCCGAGGATAGTTCTATCGAGACAGGGCAATTATCTTCTAAATGAGAAGTGGACTCCCAGGACATCCAACCGCCCTGTAATCACGGGCCAGTTTTTAAAAGAGGTGGTGGATCGTCATTTGGGATTATCCACGCCTATTTCCCTCCGGTAGGGTATTTCATTTCTAAACCACACTGACTTACACTTCCCGTCTCCCAGTTTTAAGACACTATTCCCATTCATTCATTCATTCATTCATTCCCATTCATTCATTCATTCATTCACTCGGTGTGTGTTTGGTACATTTTTTTTTTTTTTTTTTTGGAGCTCCAGAGGCGGACAAGGCAACGTTCAAACGCAGTGAGGGGCCTTACGCTGTTTTTACTCGTGATACGTCCCAGCCCCTCCTGTGGAGTGTGGTAGGAACGCGGTGGGAACGCCGAGAGAGGCGGAGAACGTGGAGCGAGCACCCTCCACCGACACGGGAGAGCCGGCGTCCTGTAGCCTGGTCCCTTGGGCTTTGGTGCTGTGGGCAGCAGCTTGGTGGCGCTTGGCAGATGCCGTGAAGAAGGAGGTCCAGGTTTTGGAGACAGGTTGTGGCCGTGGTGCCTTGTGACTCCATTATTGTCCTTCTGGCTCCTGGGCCTGGGACGTCAGGCAGGCAGACGAGGACCCCGTGTGTGCTGCGAGATACATCACCATGTACAGGGAAGCTTGATGTCTCTGTGTCTTTACATTTCTCCAAACCCTGGCAGTATCTCATGTCTTCGTGGCCAGTGTTTGGGCCCTGCTAAGGTAAACGGCTAGGTGACCCTCCTAGTCAACTACACCAAAAAACAAACAAAAAAAAGATTTGAATTTTGATTTTTTCCCCCCACAAACCAAATGTACTAGCAATGCCCTTGTGTTAAAAGGAGGGGACAAAGGCGGGCCAGGAAGACTCAAGATAGAGACTTTCAAAAGGGAAAGGTTATAGGGGTGTAAGGAGGAGATCCTTCCCCCACCCCGTTAATTCATCATGCAAATTAATGTAAATCAGATCAAGCATCAGGAAGGTTGCTGCCCTCCGGCATCCTATCCCGTAGCTACATCTCCATGGAAGGTCAAGTTCAGGCAGAAACCAGGACTGCATAGACCCTGTGGAGTCAGGGAGTAGGGGAAGTGGCTGGTGGATACTGTGTTTCTTCTTACATAACTTTATATGACATTAAATTGAACAGAAAGGATTGATGGAGGAAAATGAATCCCAGGGGGCTGTGTGTAGGCAGAAATGGGGTTTGAAAGGGCTTCTGACTGGGTCCCCTCTGAGACCGTGCAGCCCCTTGAGACAGAGCTCCATGTAGCCCCCACGGGGTCCAAGCAGTCACCCGAAGAATGACATAAGCCATGGTGTTTGTTTCTGTCTCTCTCCCTGACGCTTTCCTTTGTCTTCTCCGCATAAGTCGTAATGTGATTATTTGAAAACAAAAGTCATTGTGCAGATCAGCTCCACGGTGCGACCATGGAGGAAAGTAACCTGCTGTCCTCTGTGTGCTTCAGTCCTCCTCATCCACAGGGAGCCGGCCCGAGAACTCCGTGACCTTCAATCCTTACGAGCCAGACCGGGGGCCCTGGGCCACAGACAAAGGTGAGCCATGCGCGGTCACATCCCCGGCCATTCGTGGCACAGCAGTACCCGTGGCCCTCGACCAGACTTGCTGTCAGCAATGGGGCCTCGGCCGGACCTCCTTGGGTTCTCGGCGTGACTCCAGGTTCTACTTGTATTGGTGCACTCGGTCTGTTCATTGCTACAAAAACGGCCCCCAAATGTAGTAGCTTAGTGCAGCAGTCATTCAGTTACGTCCTGCAGGTCAGGGGTCTGGGCCAGGCTGGGTAGTGGGGAGGCCGTGGGGAGGCTGGGGCAGAGCGCTGGCTGGCATCTCAGTCTCCACGCTGACGGGGCCCCTCCCTCGGTGTCCCCTCGAGGGCTGGCTTATACTTTCTCCCAGCATGGAAGGGACCCAGGCACCTGGTGTCTGAAGCTCAAGAACCAGTCTTCCAGCCAACATGGAAGGGAGGGTGCCTGGTCCTTTATAACCTCACCTGACTCGCCAATGTCATTTCCAATATAGTCCATTGGTTGACACAGTGACAAAAGCCACTGGGGGCAGATAGTGCCATAGACTTCACCCCTCGGTAGAAGGAGGGTCAGAGTTTTCAGACAGTGTAAAGCCATCCATTAGGGAGGCTTCTGGCATGAAAGACCCTTTTTCTGTGCACCTCCGTGCAAGAACCGGGTCGAGTCCCATGGGGGTGAGGGGCTTTTTGCTGCCACCCCCTAACAAACCAGGAGAGACTGTGCCCTGAGTGCTCACCAGCATCGCAACTGTCAGAGGTGAGCAAGGTCTGGAAAGGCGAGGTGTGCCGATAGGAGGCAGGAGCGGGAGATATGGGGATTTTCAGCAGGGACCCAGCCCCAGGGTCGGGTGTCTCTTGACCGCCTTGCAGACGCCCAGAGAGAAGCCATGCCCATGGACACCGAAGTGTACGAAAGCCCCTATGCTGACCCCGAGGAGATCAGGCCCAAGGAGGTCTACCTAGACCGCAAGCTGCTGACCCTGGAGGACAGTGAGCTGGGCTCTGGCAACTTCGGGACCGTGAAGAAGGGCTACTACCAGATGAAAAAGTAAGTCGTGGCCACACCGCTGCACGGCGCGTTCTCGCATGAGCTGACGTTCTAGAAACCGCCACACTCCACGCATCCTGTGCATTTAGTCCCAAACACAAACTCTAACCCAGCAGGGCTGAATCCTTCTTTGTTAACGGTGTATGGTTGTTCGTTTCTGGTACAGCTACAATGCAAGCATTCATTGTGTATACTAGCTTTGTATACACCAAGTACGTATATTAGTTTGCACGTAGGAAGCGTGCCTTTCAGAGCATCCGAAAGTAGAAACAAGCAAGATGTAATAAAATGAGAACATCCTGTTTGTACCACCCAGATAGCTCTACTGTTAACTAACAGTAGTGTCTATATATTATTTGGGTCTTTCTATGCACACACATACACACATGTATTTTTTAATTAAAATGCAATTACTCAGTGACAGAAACACAGCATTTTCAGGTATTTTATTTTATTTTTTAAATCATGTCACATTTCTCTTACCCAGAAAATTCCTGATTATGGACATCGTTAGTGTAATTGTTTATCTGCTTTTTCCTATAATTTCAGATCACAACACATACCATACAATAGTTAGAATTGCTGTGTCACTGAAATCTCTGCACCTCATTTGCTCTTTAGAAGGTGTCCTGCATGGAATGTTCAGTAAATGTGCCAGACTGTAGAGTGCTTCGAAACAGACCCTATCTCTGAGTGTGTATGTTTGAATTAATACGTTACTGATACGAATATAGTTGGGTTTAGTTGTTTGATATTATTTTGAATTATGACATTTTATATATGTTTTATCTTGAGTAGGTAAATTTACATTACTCAAGTGTCAAGAACATAGGCAAAGCATGCATGGAAACTCTTGCTTTCAAATCCTATTTTTCTGGGTGCATGTAATTGATAGGCTCGTTCAAAAATCTGTGCATGCATATCACAGTCATTTGTGGAATGAATATAAATTACTCTGTATTAAGGTATAAATTTCCTCAACTAGTTCGTGACACTTAAATTCCTTGCTTAATTAAATACATATATTAACACAGACAATAACTATGGATACGTAATTTCAACTAGAGGGTTTGGGGAGAGGAGAGGAGATGTTTTTAATCATGGATGTGTATTACAGCTTATTGAGTACTGTTTTTTCTGCTGAGATGATCTTATGGTTTTTCTCCTTTGTTGTGTTTATGTGGTGAAGGACACTGATTTTCAGATGTTAAAGCCACCTCGCCTTCCTGGAATAAACCCATCTTTGTTCTTCAATTAGATATTCATTTTTTCCATAAATCACTGAATTGAATTTACTAATATTTCTGTTAGAATATTTGCATTTAGGTTAACGAGAGAGATCAGTAAATGATTTTCTTGGAAGTTTCTTTGTCTGGTTTTGGCATCAGGGTATAATGCTGGCCTCAAAGCGAATTGGGAGGTTTCCTTCCTCTTCTCTTTTCTGCAAGAGATTGTGGGTGTTTTTTTCTTCCTTTACTACTGGGAAGGATCGAGAGGTTTCTCTTGTTCATTTTGACCCCTACCTCACGCCATACACAGAGCCAGTTTCAGGTGGATGGTAGTCAGAAATGTGGAAAGGTAACATGATGCACTGACTAGAGAGAGCATAGAGAAGTAGCTCCATGATTGTAGGACGGGGAGGGAGGCTCCTGGGGGTGCTTGTGTAGGATCTACAGCTTGCATTCAGTGTGGAAACACTTGTTAAACTCTACACTGAAGTGGTCTGGGTTTTTGTGAATGTATGTTAGACTTACCCCATTGTTCTCTTATTTTACCATCTTTTTGGACAGTTCTGTTTTTATTCTCCCATTTCGGAGTTCAACAAAGGAGATGTTCTTCCTGCACACATGCAGGAAGAGAAATGCACTTTTTTCAAATCATACAGAGTTAACTTCCATTCATTTATGTAAGTCCCACTATATCAGAATATTTTGAGGAGGTCCAACATGACCTGTGGGATGTTTTTATAAGAAAGTGAAAAACAATTTTTTGCAAAGTTGTTGAAGCTTGCTTAAAATTGTCAATGCTCATTTTAAAAAGTGTTTTGTAAACTATGAGCTTTAACAATGTATGCTTTTTAATTCTGCATCCGGAGGTTCACTTTTAACATATATCAAAGGAATGTTATAGTCACACACATTACAGATAATCTGAGATGGCAAATCTGAAGATATTGCAGGAATCCATGCATGTTGCAATTTGTGAGGTTTATTTGAAAATTATTTACATATCCCGTAATATTTAGGCTCTGCTTGTTTGGGTATTTTTCAGCACCTCATCATTATCTGTAACTAATACAGTGTTACTGTTTGTCTATAAAATGAGAGAACAAGGTTGTAACTACCTCCATAACACCATTTCTAGCACAGCAATTATGCTTTATGGAAGGTAATTCCCTAGAATTAGGGAACTTAGAACTTAGCCACTTTGAAAAGTTTCTTATGTATTATGATTTCTTACGCAGAGTTGTGAAGACAGTGGCTGTGAAGATTCTGAAGAACGAGGCTAATGACCCGGCTCTTAAAGATGAGTTATTAGCAGAAGCGAATGTCATGCAGCAGCTCGATAACCCTTACATCGTGCGCATGATCGGGATATGTGAAGCCGAGTCCTGGATGCTGGTTATGGAGATGGCAGAACTGGGTCCACTCAATAAATATTTACAGCAGAACAGGTATGTTTCGGTCCCCCAGGAGCTGATGCTGTGGTGGGGCAGGGCCCGCCTGCCCGGTGTATGTCATAGCCCAATTGCTATGTTGGCCTACACTCAGGGACCTTGAGGGAAGAGGGAAGAGAGTTGTAGTCTTTGGATCAAAAGCTCTTTTAGCTCTTATTGTGCTCAGAAAAACTCCAATCCAACAATTTGGTCTTCATTCTCCTTTGCTCTCTCTATATTGCTCGGCCTCAGAATATCCTGGCAATCAGTCTCTCCTCACTAGGCAGAGCATGCCATACCTAGTGAGAGAAATATTAAAATAAACATTTTAAAAGGGAGTAACAGTGATTGATGTCTTATGTGTCTGGCTGACCTCTACGTTCCCACGAGTAATTCTGAAAATAACTGTTGCTGTTAATGGATTACAAGCATTGGTGGGGGATTCATGCTGTGCTCATTTACGGCCATTGTTGAGATGGAGTAAGTCACCTGGGATAAGTCTTAATAATAGCCACTGATCACTTGGTCCCATTTGATACATTACGTGTGTACTCTACTTAGATTGTGTCTCTAATCAGCGTAGGAGGGAGGAGGTAAGCCCCACTTCACAGGTAAGAAACTGAGACTCAGAGGTGGTTTTGTTACCTGTCCAATGTTGGAACAAGGATTCCAACCAAAGCCTGGCTGTCCATGAGTCAGGTCTGGCCACCCCAATTATACTGCAGTTCAATTCAATTCATGTAATTCAAAGCACACCTTGAAAATTGTACCAGTTGAATACCAGGATAACGGTGCTCAGTTCTGAGCAGCTGTAAGCTAAAAAGGTTGTTTGTCACCACTTGTTACTCTTAAGAAAAATAGGAAATGAGAGGATCCCTCTGCATGCATGAAGAGCATGGTTGGTTGGTCCCAGATGGACTGCTGTCCACCATCACTAAAGACACATCTATAACTTTCAGGCACGTTAAGGATAAGAACATCATAGAGCTGGTCCATCAGGTTTCTATGGGAATGAAATATCTGGAGGAGTGCAATTTTGTGCACAGAGATCTGGCTGCAAGAAATGTATTGCTGGTCACTCAACATTATGCCAAGATTAGTGATTTCGGACTTTCCAAAGCACTTCGTGCTGACGAAAACTACTATAAGGTACGAAAAATTTCTCCAGTATGCAAAGCAGGTGGTGAGAATCTGAAATGCAAGTGTTTGTGTTCTTTATTTGATTATGATAGGGTTTCAAGAAGCAATTTGCCTATTGAATTTGCCTATGTAAAAAATGTTCTTGTTAAGCTTTGATTATGTTGTTTTATAAAATGAAAATACTCTAATATATCACAACTTGAGTTTACTCCGAATAGTATCTTCCAAACTATATTCCCGGGAACACAAAGGAATCTCAAGGTATTAATTGATAATTCGTTAAAAAAAAAACACACAAGGGGCGCCTGGGTGGCTCAGTTGGTTAAGCGACTGCCTTTGGCTCAGGTCGTGATCCTGGAGTCCCGGGATCGAGTCCCACATCGGGCTCCCTGCTCAGCAGGGAGTCTGCTTCTCCCTCTGACCCTCTTCCCTCTCGTGCTCTCTATCTCTCATTCTCTCTCTCAAATAAATAAATAAAATCTTTAAAAAAAAAAAAACACAAGAATAGAATTTCTTCCTTAAATTACTTTGGAAAAATGTGTTGAACAGGTTGATCCTTACAGGATTTCTCAGAGCCCCCCCTCAACCCCCGAAATGAACTGATAGCAACTAAAGGAAGGGAAAAACATAAGAAAGCCTCATATGAACTCGGTCACAGTGTGTATGTTGAGTCTAGGTTGATCAACTAGAAAATGTAATGGGAATGGAACTCAGATAGTGAAAGAGGGGGCCAAGAACAGATTTCCAACTCTCCAGGTCCCTGGGAGAGTCCAGCATTCTCAGAAATAGACGGCCCACCCTGAAGCTCTCACTTGAGGATGGCAGGATGGGGGCCGTAGGATTGCCCTGGGCTCCACACCCTGGAGTGCTGGGTCCCCCACTCACCCACCCACTCACTTCTCTCTGGGACGGCCGCTGTGCATGTGGCGGTTGGGGACAGTGGGTCTTGGTCGGCTAGGGACTGGCATAAGGATGAGCAGCAAGAGCAGAGCTGTCCAGCAGTACTCCATCCTCCAGAGAGAAGCTGCCTCCAGAGCAGAGCCCCTTCAGAGATGAGCCACCGTTAGAAAAGCACCGAGTGAGGCCTTTACAGACACTGGGGGGAAGTGAAGCAGAGGAAACGGCAGCCTAGAGGGATAGCCCCAAGCACACGCCAGAGAAAAGCAGGTGTTCTGTCTGGAGGCACTTTGGAACACACGCTTCATCGTGATAATTAAAGAGAGAGGAAAATCTAGACTGAATAGCTACACAGAAAGAGATGGGAGAACAGGCCATTTTACCTGCCCGAGCCCATCCATGAAAATGGAAACAAAAAATAGCAGGAGTAGCTATATTTATAGCAAACAAAATAGACTTGAAGTCAAAATCTGTAACAAGAAACAAAGAACGTCATCATATAATAATGATGGCATCAATTCATTAAGAAGTTATAAGAATTCGGGGCGCCTGGGTGGCTCAGTTGGTTAAGCGACTGCCTTCGGCTCAGGTCATGATCCTGGAGTCCCGGGATCGAGTCCCGCATCGGGCTCCCTGCTCAGCAGGGAGTCTGCTTCTCCCTCTGACCCTCTTCCCTCTCGTGCTCTCTATCTCTCATTCTCTCTCTCAAATAAATAAATAAAATCTTTAAAAAAAAAAAAAAAAGAAGTTATAAGAATTCTAAATATATATACACCCAATGTTGGGGAACTTTCTGAATATAACCTGAATAAACAAATACTAACATATCTGAAGGGAGAAATAGACAACTATACATTAGTAGTAAGGATTTTCAGTACCCCACTTTTATCTATGGATAGGTCATTCAGACAGAAAATCAATAAGGAAACACTGGACTTGAACTATACTTTAGGCCAAATGGATCTTAACAGAATTCACAGGTGAATTCTGCCAAGCATTTAAAAGAGAATTAATGCCAGTCCTTCTCAGACTCTTCCAAAAAATGGAAGAAGAGGAAACATGCTCAAACTCATTTTCCAAAGCCAGCATTACCCTGATCCCAAGGCCAGATAAGGACAGTACCACAAAAGAAAACTACAGGCCAAAATCCCTGCTGAACATACATGCAAAAATTCACAATAAAATACTGGCAAACTGACTTCAACAACACATTAAAAGAATCATACACCACAATCAAGTGGGATTTATCCTGGGAATGCAAGGATGGTTCAACATCTGCAAAACAATAAATGTGGTACACTGCATTAATAGAATGAAAGATAAAAATCATATGGTCATCTCAATAGATGCAGGAAAAGCATTTGACAGATTCCAGTATCCTTTAACAATGAATACTTTCAACAAAGTGGGTATAGAAGGAACATGCCTCAACACAATAAAGGCATATATGACAAGCCCACTGCTCACATCAGACTCAATGGCGAAAGATTGAAAGCTCTTCCTCTAAGATCAGGAACAAGGGAAGGATTCACTCATACCACTCCTACAGTATGGAGGTTCCTAAAACAGTTAAAAATAGAGCTACCCTATGACCCAGCAAATTATACTACTAGGTATTATCTAAAGGATGCAACCATAGTGATTCAAAGGGGCACATGCACCCCAATGTTTATAGCAGTAATGTCCACAACACGTGGTTAACGAGAAGAATTAAAAAGTAAAGTGCAAAACATATGTCCCTAACTTTTCTACCTCCCAAAGGTATATGTTACCTATCTGTACTTGGATATAGATTTTTTTCTGGAAAGATTCAGGAAAAGTGATCAAACGTGCCCATCTCTATGGATGAAGATTTGAAGTTGGTGGAGAGAGACTTCCCTTTTCGACATATTTAGGACTCGTCAAAGGGTCATCTTTGTATCACCTCAAAATTTAAATTAAAATTGAAATAACACATATGACTATATTGTTCACAACTTTGGAAACCAGAATCTTTTTTTTTTTTTTTGGAAACCAGAATCTAAAAATAATGTGTTACATGATTGAGACAAAAGGGTAATCAGAGTGTCATTTAGAGACACCCATGGTGCCTGTGGTCTCAGAGCGATGTCCTGGGCTGGGGCCCTGCTGACCCACCATAGGGCAGCCCACCTCCCTCGCTGCCCCCAAGCGTGCTTGTTAGCGTGACCTCCCCAGGAGGCAGCAGGACTGACTTACGCACCGAACTCTAAGCCCCAGAGGAAAGGGTTTCTGCTGGGCACAATTTTGATCTCTTTACTACCCCTTGCTTTTTTAAATTAAAAAGTTGAAAACATTTTTGGAGCACTTGGCTATCTCCATCGGTGGAGCGTGGGACGCTTGATCTCAGGGTTGTGAGTTTGAACCTCACGTTGGGTGTAGAGATCACTTAAAAATAAAATCTTAAAAAAGAGAAAAATTTAAAACATTTTTAAAGCCGTACTAGCAGTCTGTGACAAAATAACGTTGGCTGAAAACCATAGACAAGTACCCAGTAATAGTTAACTATTCTTGGGAATAGCCCAGTATTTCTTGGAGCACAACCATGAAGCTAAAATTCAGGCTGGGCTCTTGTGTTGGCACAAGCTCCACGAAGCTGTGAGTAGCCAAAGGAAGAGGCGAGAGAAAAAGACAAAAAGGCACAAGAAATACAGCCTGAATCTTAAAAAATAGAATGAAATCTTAAAATTTTAATTTTTTTAAGATTTAAATGTCTACTTTTAAGATTCGGACCAAATACATACATGCACACACGCACAGGGCATTTCATGAGTCATTTTATTACTGTTTGTTTTTTTTTTTTTATTTTGGTTAACACACATCAATGTTATCTGTTGACATAAATTTTACCATCTGAACCATTTTTAAGTGGGCACGTCAGTCATGTTAGGAACGTTCCCTGTGCTTACAGCCACTCTCCAGAATTCTCTGAAACTCTGTCCTCATTAGACAGCGACTCCCCCTGTCCTGCTCAAGCCCCCCATTCCCTGGCAATCGCCCCTGTGACCTGGGCCCTCTCGGGGCCTCGGGTGAGTGCTTTCATGCAATATCAGTACTGCAGGGACTTGGCTGGCTGACTTCACTGAGCCTGATGTCTTCAGGCTCCAGCCATGCTGTTATGTGCGTCAGAAGCCCCTTCCCACTGGAGGCCCAGTGATACTCCATCGCGTGGATATGGACCTGCTGTTTATCCAGTCCTCCGGTGGGGGACGCGTTGGGACCGCGCACCGTTTGCTGCTCTGAACCCAGGCGTCCACAACCCAGTTGTCACCGAGGGTCTCTGTCTGCTTTGCTTTCAGGCTCAGACCCACGGGAAGTGGCCGGTGAAGTGGTACGCTCCAGAGTGCATCAACTACTACAAGTTCTCCAGCAAGAGCGACGTCTGGAGCTTTGGGGTGTTGATGTGGGAGGCGTTCTCCTACGGGCAGAAGCCCTATCGGGTGAGCCCCTGCTATTTTGGTTCTAGCTACGTGGCCAGCCCAACAGACAAGCCCCGGATGATTGTCACAGGACGCCAAAAATCATAAACTCCTAAAATCTGGGCTCCCTGTCTGAGTCTTTCACTGTCTTTTGACAGTGAGCCGTGGATATGACCTCCATTTATTCTAAACTGAAAAAAAATGTGGTATTAACTCAACAGTTTACTTAGTTTCATTGTGCATTACACTTATAAATATGCATAAAAGAGACCCACGTCGACATTATAATTAGAGTGGAAATAGATATATATAGATATATATATATACATCTATATATATTTATTAACTGGCAGTTCAGTTAAATATTTTAGATTTTTTTAAAATCAAAACATGCATACCAAAAAGGGCACCTGTGCTAGAATACAGCTTGATGAATTTTCACAAACGGGTGTGCCCGTGAAACCAGCCCCCAGATGATGAACAGAAGGCCCCCTGTGCCCCCTGCACGCACAAGTTGTCCCCCAAGGGCAACCCTGTCTGACTTCTAGATCATGGGTTAGGGACTCCTGTTTGTGTATGTTTTATAAGTGAAATTGTGCAGCGTGTACTTTTGCCTCTTTGGGGTGGGGGTAAGACTTATCTGTTGTGTTTTGTTTTGTTTTGCTGAACGCTGCCTTAAACAAGCTTGGGTATGTTTTGCATTTTAGGGCATGAAAGGCAGTGAAGTTTCAGCTATGCTGGAGAAAGGAGAGAGGATGGGGTGCCCCGCCGGGTGTCCAAGGGAGATGTACGAGCTGATGAAGCTGTGCTGGACATATGAGTGAGTACCCAGCATGCCCTGCAGTTTATGCAAAGGCCCGGGGGCAGGTGGGAAGGCCCTGGAAAGTAGCAGCGCCTCTGTCTTTCTGTGAACCAGGGCTGTGCTCCCTTCTAAACAAAGAGTGGTGGGGTGGCTTGCTTCCCAGACCAGGTGCTCATATTCTTCGGTCTAAAGAATAAGTTTAGACAGTGAACTCTAATCCAGGGTCTCCAAATTTAAGTGTAGATGGTACCAGCTGGGGGTGAGGGTGGTCAGCGTAGAAAGGTGTTGGTGGGAGTCCGGGCTGGTGCCGTGTCCCACTTCTGGCAGCAGGGGCTGGCAGAGGTACTCAGCAGGGGAATGAGTATCATACTTGCCTGATTTCCTGACCACCCTTCCAGGCAAGACCATGGGTGTCATCCAGGTCACAGGGGTATCGGCCAGGGGAGCACTTCCCCAGAAGTGACTCAGACCTCGGACAGTGGCCCTCAGCATCTGCCGCGTGCCGTCATGCGTCCTGCCTGGGGGAGCGCATGTGATGTTGTAGGCTGGTGGTGCTCAGGGCAGCTCAGCGGGCCAGGGACATGCACCACAGCTGACAGTCAGGGACGTGGCCTTTGACCTTGCCCGGATCGGTGGCCTGTGCGTGGGCCGTGGGGAGCCCCCGAGCCTGGTCTCCGTGTCTCTGACCCCGGCGTGTGCCTGTGCGCCCTTGGAGCTCCGAGGTGCTGTGGGTGTGTGTGTGATCTAGAGGACCCGCGTTCTTGCCCTTCCATGGCTTCAATACTTACGGTCAGGTTGCTGTCAGAGACTCGGGCTGATGGACCAAGAGCATCTGGAAGGTGAGGAATATTCCAAGTGCTTTCAGATGCCGCCAGGGATTCTGTAACTCCCTGAGGACGATCGTCCACCACAGCTGGGAGTGGAAGTAAAGAATGCCATCATTATCTAGAAGGGACCCAGGGTCAGCCCCCAGGGGAGAAGGCAGATGTTTCCCTGGCTGACGCTGTGGACACGGTCCAGGGAAAAGGCCTTTGGCGGGGGTCTGATGGAGCTGCTGGGGACAGCGCAGGCTTGTTCTAGCATCCAGCAGGCACCGTGCACCCTGCATGGCTTTGGAGACCCTGAAGGCTGTGAGGATTCTTTGGGGGCTGACCTCCAGGTTGGAAATGAGCTCACAACGCCTTCCCTCCGTGCACTTGGGTCCCAGCCTCTGGCCTAAGCAACCTCTCCTTCCCAAGGACACTGGGTCGGGTGACCCCCAGCAGCAGGGCAAGGCCATGGGTCAGGCGCAGCCCTGGGGGAGGGCACTTACTAGAAGTAAGTAAACTTGTAGAAGAAGTATCCTTCTCCTCCTGTGGAAGGTTTCACTTCCTCCGGGAATACTCTTTGAAATCATTCTGAAACACATTTTAAAACCTGAAATTAAAATAAACTCTCAGGGAGGTCGTTAAAATTAGTGTTTTGGCATTTAATGCTAAGACTGACAGGTTTATTTCTATCTGCTGTCCTTTGTGTTTGCCAATGAGGAGGGCAAGGGTGGGCGGGAGGGGCCTCAGGGCGGGGGCGGGTGTGAGGGGTGGGCCCCGCAGGGTGGGGCGGCCAGGGCGCCACCTTCTGCCACAGCTCCCGCCTGGCTCAGGGGCGGTGAGCCTGCCCAAGCCGCTCAGCACCGGGCGCACTCTTCCTGTGACTCAGGGCACCCGGAGCGGGCGCTCTGCCCACCTGTTCCTGCGGGACCCGGACGGCTCCTTGCACCGTTATTGGCCGCATGGTCCCCAAAGGGAGGACACACAGGGGACACAGGTCTCCTGGGTACTCACCAGACCTGGGGTGTGTGTGCTCACCGGGAGGTTGCGGTTACATCAGAGTGAGGCCTACAGGCAGGGACGTCTTTCCCCCGGCTTCCAACCCAAGCACGCGCTCTGGCGAGTTCCATGTCGCTAACGGAGAACCAGCCGCAGGATTTAAGTATCAGCCAGGTAAAAGCAGTGATGGCAGTCCATGCCCGAGATGAGAAACGATGAGTCCTTATCAGTCTTGGATTCATTTTCCAGCAAAGCTGTATTTCTGAACGTTCAGGTTCTTCTGGTAGTGACCTGACAAAGGGCAGAGGACAGGACGGGGGTTCGGAGACTCGGTCTCAATGTAAGTAGTGAGATGATGTGCCCTTGAATGGCAAAGCACCCTTTTCTTGGACACGGCCACCAAGGAGCCCTCAGACACCAGGCGATGGTCTGGCAGCCAGGTCCCTGCCCAGGGCCCTCAGGGCAATGCCTGGCCAGGACCGCCGGCAGCCGCTGTGTTCACCCAGCCTCCCCTGCGGTCCCACGGTGTGTCCCGGAGCAACATTCTGGGGACTTTCCAGGGTGGGGGCCGGAACCCTGTGCAGGCGGACATCCCCCCTGGCCCTCTGGCTTTGCAGAGGGGAACAAGGCATTCCGAGCAGCACCTGCAGAGGTCGCACTGAGGGCAGGGGGGCAAGTCAGGGCCAGGAAGGGAAGATGGGCCCCAAGGAAAATGGGGAGCAGCAGGGCTGGGGGCTTCGGCTGTGTTTTACAGAGTCAGTGTATGGCCTGTAATTAGGGATGCCAGTGGGAAAAACCCTTGCTAATCGGGAGAAGTTGGGTCTCTTCACCCTGAAAAATGGGCTCCTGCCTAATGGAGAAAAGCCCGGGACATTGGGGATCTCTGAGGTCGGGAATGATCTAGGGGGAGCTCGAAGTGCTGCTTAAAGATCGGTAAACCCGAGCAATGGGGTGACACTGCCTGGACCATCTGGAGGCCCGCCCCTGGCTCCCTGCTCCGCTCAGTGCCAAGTCCGTTCCCTCTGAGTGCCCCGTCCCCTGAGCACCCCATCCACTGAGCGCCCCAGAGTTCACGTAGCCCGCACTCACCACTGGAGGTGCTGTGTGCAAGCCACCATCCCATCACTCGGGGTGGGGGTCAGCAAGTCTCGGGGAAGGCCCAGACCCTGCCCTGCTAGAGCCTACAGGCGAGGGGAGGGGTGAACAGGCGATAAACAAGCTAAGGAATCTGTGTGCTCTCAAAAGGTAGTGAGTCCGATGGCATTTCAGTGCCGAGGCCATGGCCCAGGAGGGTGTTGTACGTGTGAGTGGGGTCTTAGAGTACCTCCTGTGTGCACGTGCTTTCTCATGCAAGGAGATATAGCACCGGCCTGGGGCCCAGGAGCACTTGGAGCTTCCAGAACCTGGTGGATTCCATGAAGCGAATACAGAGGAGCCCTGTGTATTCTCCAAGCTTTTTGAGGCATTTTTTGTTGTTCTTGTTTTATCCATTCTAAACAGTCAACTAGGTGGATGAATCAATTAATACGTGATAGATGGCTAGACAGATGATGGATAGGTAAGTAGGTAGGTAGTTAGACACATACATACACACTTCAAGACCTATCACTGACACACTCTATTGACCCCCTCCACGTATGTACCGGTGGACACTTACCTGGAGGAGGTCACGATCCTGGGCTGGTTGTGCTAGAGAACTGGGTGTTGGGAGGCAAACGTGCCACAGATTAGCCCCCCATAAGCCCGTGATCACGCACGGCTATCTTTTGGTTAGAGGTTCACATTGGCCTCCATCGGGGAGTGGCGTCCCACCTGAGGACTGCAGGATGAGGGGCAGGGGTGCGGGCAGTGAGGAAAGAGGGGCTGCTGGCCCGAGGGCCCGAGCGGAGAAAGCCCCCCGAGGCCCCAGGAGGCTGATGCGGGCAGGTGGGGACAGACAGGAAGCTCACACACGTGTAGGACGCTTGGCCACCCTGGCTGAAGCTCAGCATCATGGCATCATGCTCAAGTGTCGAGGAGAGATCCCCTGGGAGGCCGGACCAGGTGTCCTTGCCGAGCGCCGGTCTGTATCCCTATGTCGGTTAGTTTGCTTGGTGCCTGGCTGCTGGGTGGATGGAGATTCAGGAGCTCCGTGCATTTGGGTCCCCAGAGCTGGAGGGGAACGTTCGGTTTTGCAAAGATTGATGAGGTGTGTTGTTTGACTGTAGAAGGAGGGAGGCTGTCCATCTGGGTAGACACAGCCTCCACCTACGCTCCTGCACCCAGGCTTGGCCCCCAGCCCTCCTGGAGCACAGCTTGGTGGCCAGAGGCGTGGTCCCCACCGCAATGCCTGAGGTGGCCTGTGTCCCCAGCCATGACCGCAGACGGCTGTAAATTCCAGCAGTCCATTATGGTTTTTCCTTACTCTTGAAAGCTATAGGTGAAACCATTTATTTTGATGGCATTTGACAAAACCCATTTGGGTTCCATGGAAGCCGCACTCCTTGCAGTGGTGAGTGATTCTGGGCCCCTGTGAGCCTGCTGCCTGGCTGCCCCACCAGACCCGCATGGAACCTCTTGAAATTCCAGTCAGAATGTGGACACTTCCCCCAGTGCGACCTCAAGTTCTGTTTTCACTTACTGGGCAACTTCACCCTCGGGCAGGATAGCCCCAAATCCCACAATGTAAGCAAAATTATTTCCACGCTGGGCCACGTTCTCACAGTTTTAAGAAATACTTCCTTCCAGCTGATGCTGTCTTGGTGGGAGGAAGCAGAGAAGTCTATGACAAGTTTTGAGTTTAATGCGAACCCGTATCAACAGCATTTTTTCAGAATATCCAGAGCTATCTGACTGGGGTGGGGAAGAAGGTACTTTAAATTGTGTCCATCTCTTTTTAACAGGATTCCGAGTCCAACTTGAAATAGGTCTGGGGCCCATCGACCCACTAAGTACTTTTAGGCACATTCTATTTTTGCTGGATCACAAGGACAGAGTCTCCGACCTGGGGCTCAAAGATCCCGACTCTGAGAGCGAAACGTCTCCACGTTAAAGGTGGACACGAGTCCGTGGGGAGCCTGCCGCAGGCCGGTGGGGCGCTGCGGGGGCTCCTGGTCGCCGGGTGCAGGGGCTTCCAGGGGGCGGGGCCACAGGCACCTGTCGCAGGGGCTGGATCACAGCGCGTGCGCGGACAGACAGACCCACAATAACGCGGGTCTTCCCTTTCCAGGGTGGAGAAGAGACCCGGCTTCGAAAACGTGGAGCTGCGGCTGCGCAACTACTACTACGACGTGGTGAACTAAGGGCCCCACGCCCTGCGCCGCTGCCGGGGGCAGGGGAGCGGTCACAGCAGACCCCGCCCAACGCAGGGATTTCGAGAGCGTCCACCTCTCTCTCTGCCGTCGGGAGAGCCAGCCTCGTGCGGGACATGACCGTTGTCCCCAAAGCCTGCCCCGGAGCACGCCCTCTGCAGAGCACACCCTCCCCGAGGAGCCCGGGAAGAAAGACGGCAGGATCGGAGGGCCCGTGGATTCCTTTGTGTTTCTCGCCTGTGCGGTTTGCAGGACAGGTTCCGCTGAGGATCCATGTGGGCATCTGAATCTCCAGCAGCCGGGAGGTGTCCCGGGCTCACCTGCACCGCCTGCCCTGCAGGGAAGGCGAGCGGAGGGGGTTTGGCTGCCTCCAGAACCTGGCGCCGACAGGTCCAAAGACTTAGCCCTGCCACCGAAAAGCTTTCCTGGCGATGAAAGTGCTTTGAGGCTTTAAAAAAGAAAAAAAAAAAAAATCAAGCTGGACCAGTACAGTTTCTAAGCGTGTAGCCAGTTAAAGGGGGGAAAAAGTCTGGATACTGCATTTGCTCTGTGCGTTCTGAGACACAAGACTCAGATCCATGGGACAGATGGGGCTGTGGGCATGAACTGACTTGGCGTGCCTTCCCCCTGAGAGCCTCTCTCCCGCACACCCTCCCGGGACTGTGCTTGCTTGGAGGTGGTGGAGGGGAGAGGGTGTCTGTCCTCTCGGGCCTGAGCGAGGACAGACGGCAGGTGCATCGGGCTGTCCTCTCCTTAGGGAGGTCCGAGCTCCCCTCCCCTAGAGAGAGGGTACTTCCAGAATATCCCGACTTTTTCTGTGTTCACGGTGGGGAGGGGGTGGGGACAACCCGGGGCCAAGGCCATCTACAGTGAGTTTCCTAAGATTGTATTAATTCATAATAAAGCCACAGACTCTGAGCTTTGCTGCAAGCATGCCTCAGTGTGACTTTGGGTTGAAGATACGAGACCGGGAATTCTTGGCTAGCTCTCTAGTCTTAGCGAAGCCTTGAGTCATGTGTGAGCTTATACGTCATCAGCCCATGTATGCCAGTTTGAAAGTCAGAGGGTGTTAGTTGTCATTCTTAGGGCAGCTGAGACCCTGGGCCAGCGTCGGTCATACCTGAGACATTTTAAAGTATACGTCCGGCCTGTTGTCGGGAGAGTTTCCCTTCTCATAGCAGGGCATCCAGGCACAGGGAAAAGCAGCAATCAGCACCCTTGCTCAGCCAGAAGGAAACACGAATCACTCATCGAACTGGTGGGAAGAAGCGTGTAGAACCCACCTGGGCTTTTTTGGAACCGTGCTAGCTGGCGGATTAATCATTTTGTTAAAGAGAGGGTCCCAGCTTGCTGAGCAGATACTCAAAACATGGGCAACATACATCAGAGTCCCTGAAATTAAAAAGCCGAGTGACAGGAACTCTGCGGCGGGCTGTCCGTGGATTTGGAGTCATGCCTGCAAGGTTGGATGGAGCACTGGTGACCTCCGAGCAAGTGGTTGCGTCTCTGGCAGAGGCCGTGCATGGAAGGCTCTGTGATGTGAACGTGAGCAGTTACTGGGAGGTGAGGATCCTCACTGGGCACTGGCCGCGGCTGGACCTCGCGGGCCCGCCACCCTCCTGACGGTTCTCTCTCCCCGGGCCTGAGCCCCCTCCCCATGCCTTCCCCTTCTAGTCCTTGTTCAGGGGCAGCAAGACAGCATCATGGACAGACACACCACTCCGGCCAGAACCAGTCACTGCTGGTGCCACGCACACTGTGTCCCCACCGGGGGACTGGAGCTTTCCATAACACAACCCTAATCCATTCCATGGTGTCAGGGACTACTTGTGGTTTTCCATGTGAGTGTGTCCCCACGTGGGCTGTCGCTGGCTTCACAGTTCCCCCAGCCCGGTGGCCGCCACCCCGCCTGGATGTCCACACGTGGAGGTGACTACTGGGTCCTCCGGGCACCCCCCTCCCACAGAGCACACGCCGCCATCTCAGAAGAACGACTTTTTGTCACTGGCTTGTTTTTTTTTTCTGTGATTTTTTAATAAAACTTTTAAATTAGCTTCGTGATGATTTTCATGGATATTATTGGAATGCTGTAGGTTGCACCGTCAAATAAACAGTGTTAAACAACATCATTAAATGTGAAATGTGTTTTGTTTTTTTTTTTTTAAATGCTAAGTGCCCAGTTGAGTCCTAAAAAGCCTGATGCATGCAGATCCCTGGGAGCGGGTCCGGGAGCTTCTGTTGTGCAAAGGCCTGCTGAGGAGGGCCCTGGTGGGCCGTGACCCCTGTTCCTGAGGTCTGCCCAAGGAGGGCCTGACAGCTCGCCTCATACCCACGGGAAAGAGGGGTGATGATCCCTGAAATCCCCACAGGCGCCAAAGCCCAGCTGGGGGTTGTGGGCTTCCCCTTTCCACATGAAGACAGCTTAAGGGGCATTGGGGAGCGGAGGAATTCCAGAGTGTCCCCATCTCCACCTGCTTTAAAGGGGGTCACACACGCACACTCCCATACACGTGTGCACACACCACATACATACGCACACCATGTGCAGACGTGCCTACATATCACTCACAGGTACACACGCACACCACACAAACATACACACCACACACTGCACCCTACTGACCCTTTAAGTGCCAGTGTGGGGCAGTCCTGCTGCGGGGGTGCGCTGCTGGCTGCTTTTGTCTCTGCCTCCTCCTCAGGCCCGGGGAGGAGGGTCAGTGCCTCTCCTGGCCACCAGCCTCCCTCGGGGTCCCACTGAAGAGCCTCCTGCTGCTGGCAGGCAGAGGTTTGAAGGCCTGTGCGGGCCGGCCTCACAGTCCCTTGGTGGCCCCGAGACCGGGACAGCCGGGGACGACACGGAGCGGGCCTGTGGCTCCAGACGTGGTACGGGCGCAAGTGGCAGTGGTAACAGTACGGTCAGCTGGTCCCCAGCGCCAACCATGGTGGGTCCCCTACACCGGGGGAGGCTCAGCCACCGACCTGTGTGGACACCTGTGAGTGCAGATGCACAGGCCAGGGGCCCGGCTCTGAAAATATCAGGGGGAGCCCACCTCGTGGGGACCCGTGGGCCAGCTGGGTGGTGATCCAGGAAGCCAGCGACCTTGACTCTGAGCCTTCGACCCCGGGGGAGGGCGCAGGAACCACAGCGCCATGGAGGCAGGGACATGAGACAGATCTGTCGCTAAGTGAGCTCGGGCAGAGGGGTTTGAGACCCGTGCTTGTGGTTCCAGGGTGTGGACAGACTTCGGAACTAGTCGGTAATGCGTTCTCGGTTCAGGGAAGGAAGAAGCCTTTGCCGAGAGCCGGAATGAGAGTTTGCTTTTCCGCACGCTCTATTAGGGTAGGGATCGACGGTGCTGGACACTGCTCGTGGTCTGGGGAATGGTGGCCAGGGACAGCGGGTCCTCCTGAGTCCCTGCATGTTCTCGGGGGATGGGAGCCAGGCAGAGGCGGAGCCCCAGCCCTGCTTCTGCACCTGTGAGTCTGAGCAGCGCAGCCGGATGGAACGGCTTGGGCAGCTCAGCTCGGCCTTGCCCGGGAAGGACCCCGGTGCCCGGCAGCCCACTCGCAGTTTGAGAAGCTGGGCAACAAAGACCTGTCCATGCGTTCTTGCCAGCTCAGCATTTCCCCGACTTCTCGGACCACAGACCCGCTGTTGTGCTCAGTGCCCGTTAGCAAGATGGGGCTGGTGTTCTGCACACAGGCCGGGAAACCGCACACAAGGGAGGCAGCTCTCCTGGGGACCCGGGGTGCGTGTGGGGAGCTAATTCCTCCCCTGACATCAGCCGGGGAGGCCGTTCGCTGTGCTGTTAGCTGAAGAACCAGCCCTGTCCTGATCTCAAATGTTGGTTGCTTTCACACACCATGTTCTCTCTCTCTCTCTTTCACACACACACACACACACACACACACACAGGATACATATAAGCAATCACTCCTTCAAAGACAAAAAAGAAGAAATGGTAGCATCTCGCTACACCTGGGCTGCCCAGGGCACATAACTTGGTGTTTCGCCACCTAGAGCTGTTTCAAAGGCCACTTAGGATTTTGGAGTTTTGCAGAATTAGCCTAGAGGGAAAAAAGCACAGTTTTCCGGAGCAGTGGCCGCCCAATCGGGCGACATCTGCCTGGTTTCCCTAGGTCAGTCCAGGGTGTGCAGACCTGGTCTTGCCCCCACCCCCTGGCTCCCAGAGTTAATCCTCCCCCCGTTGTCCCCCACAGGCCTGGGCCTGGGGCTTGTCTTCCTATTTCACTTCCCAATGAAAGGTCTGCTTTTCCCAGGCCTCTCAGAGACTGCCCACCCGCTCTGGCTCCCGGGGAGGGTGGGTGGGTGCCGGAGACCGGAGAACAGGGGCCATTCTCTGCACGCCTGCAGGCACTTTCTCTGTGGAATCGGACCAGTCCTCCTGCCCTCAAGAAAGCAGCGTAACCGGCAGAGCAGGCTTTACAACAAATACTTCATCCCTCACGTGGTCCCCTGAGGCCTCGACAGTGGCCTTGTGGGTCCCAGAGGCCACTCCCTGCACTGCTGGCTGACGGGGAGGGATGCCTCCCCCGCCTGGGCCCGTGTCCTTGGCCACTGGTGGTTCTTGGAGGCTTCTGGGAGAGAAAGCAGTTTGCCACCTCGTCCGCGGCACTTGAGAGTGGCATTAGGATCTGTGGGTGTCCCCATCTTCCTTCTCCCCACCCTCAGCTTTTAGGAAGCACCCAGCCGAGCACTCAGGGGTCAGAAATACGGATGCCTACATGATGCCCTTCAGCAGCATCGGCCCCGCCTCTGACCGCGGGCAGACCGGCGTGCCGAGGGCTTCATGCTGCACCAGTGGACAAGCCGTGAACACGCGCAAACAGTGAGTGGCTTTGGACACCAGACCCGTGGGACGTGGCACTGAGGGCTCTGTCACAGAACTCTCGTTTGCACTTTCCACAGCTAGTAAAGTGTTTTCAGGCGTAAAACACTCTTTTAAAACTAAAAACAAGCAACTTTTGAGACAGCTGTCATTATTAATTCTTCATTTGACAAGTGAAAGGCCATGATTCAGAAAAGAGCACCAAAAAAGAGCCTTGAGCCCCATTTCTTATGTCACAGCCCTGGCTCGTAGGCCAGACTGCCCCCTAGAATCTTGAATGGAGCCTTCAAAATGCAGGTCCCCAGA